CGGAGAGCTGCCCCTGCCCCACGGGGAGCCGGCGGCCGTACCTGATTCGGGATGGCTCTTTTCTTGTTCATCTGCGTGTTCCTTTGCTGCGCGCTGGAAGAAGAACAAGAGCAGCTTTAGGGGCAGGGGGGAAGGCAAAGCGAAGCGACGAGCGCTCAGAGCCCCCCCCCGCGGCCACGACGCGCTCCCCCGTCCCCGACACCGTAAGGAAGAGATGAGTCCGAAAGGGGGAAAACCCGTCGTGTAAAACGCAACCGAGAGCGCGCTGCCAGCACGTCGCAAGGCGGAGAGAGGAACCCCTTCCCGCGTTTTGGCCCAGGACTGAACGCAGACGAGACAGCGGGACGGACAGAGGGAGGGGGACGCGGCTTTCCAACTCGGACGGCTTTATCTCCTTTCCTTACAGTCCTCATCTCCAGGCGTTCAGCAGCCCGCCTCCGCCAGAGGGACAAGGGTACGACTCGCAGGAGAGGAAACACCGAGCAGACCAGCAGCGGTTGCCGATTCGGAAGGGATTTCTGCGCGCGAACCCAGGCGAGCCGAGGCACCCCTACCACCGCCAGGCCGAGAACCAGAAGCACTCCTCTCCAGAAACACCTGAAGCCTCCTAGTTTTTGGGGTCGGTTTGGTTTTGTTTTTTTTTTTTTTGCCCCCCCCCCCCTCCCCAGGTCGGAAAAGAGCATACCTGCACCAGAGGGAAAGCTACCTGTCTCTCCTGAGCAACCAAAGAGACGAGGGGCGAGGTGCGGGAACGTAACCGTTAGTCAGGAGCAGGAACAAAATCCATGAAAACAGTTAGAATAATGCCGGGACAAACCCCACGGAGCAGCAGTTTACAAGCACAAAGCGCCGCGCGAGCGGGTACCCACCCTGTCGCCACGTGCTGCTCAGTGTAACAGCTTGGGGAGTGGGAGAGTTTCGGAGGAGTCCGGAGGAAAAGAGAGAGATGATGGTTCAAAGGAAAAACAGGAGAGAGATTAGGAGGAGAGGAAAGAACTGTGAACGAAGGCGAAAAGCAGAGAGGTAAAAAAAAATAATAATAATAAAATAAAATATAAAAGAAGGAGGGGAAAAAGGAAAACAAGAGGAAGACTGCGTGAGTTTGAAGAGGAGGAGGTGGCGTGGGCTCTGGCTGGTGAAGGCAGTGAGGAGCCGCGGGCAGAGCCGCTCGCCTCCGCTCCTTCCGCGCGGGGGACACCCGAGAGGGACCTCTGGGCACTTCCCAAAAAAGTTATGGGCCGGTTCGGGGCTGCGCTGCCCGAAAACGCCAGCCGTCCTCTGGCCGAAGCTGAGGGAAGAGAGACTACCGGGAGAGCCCCCTCCCGGTGCCGGCCTCGCTGCCTGCGCTGAGGATGAGGAGGGAGGAGCTCAGAGGACGGGGGGACGTTTCTGCTCCGCTGGGACAGGACGAGGCGTTGCGCCTTCCCTTAGCGCGCCCAGGGGACAGGCAGACCCCCCCCCGTCTCCGCTGAAGGGCAGCGACAGCCTTAATTACCTTAATTCACGGCAGGCGCTCCTGCCAGCGGGCCCTAAGCACTTCATCTGTCTGAGGCTGACCAACCCGCCTGCGGCTACTGACGCTCTCCGCCCTAACGAGGAGCGTTAACGAACGCAGAGGCAGAGGAACGGCGTGGGGGCAGCTCAGATCTCCATCCCCTCCAACACCAAGCGGAGAAGCAGAGCTCCCGGATGCCAAATCTCAGAGAATTCGGGTGCAGAAGGTGCCGGTTTGAGGAATTACGCTGGGAGGTGGGAGACGACTCCACCGGTTTTCCCGTCGGTGGCCCCCGAAAGGGTAACGTAACCCCCCGCCCCGCGCCGCCTCTGCGAACTGGGGACGGGACCGCCAACGCCACTTATAAAAGGAGTTCGAGGACCCGTCGCAGCGGTGAAGGACTCACTTGGCAAATCCAATGAAGTCTTCGTGGTTAGTGTTGATGTAGGAGAGCTCGATGTCGATCAGCAGGAGAATCTGGAAGGAGGTTTAGGGGTCAGGAGTACCGCAGGGAGGGTCGGACGCCCCCCGGCTCCGGCAGGGATCGGTGGGAGCTGCCAGAGAACCCCCCGGGGCTGTGCCGGGGTTGGGGAGGACACGGGGGACACCGCGGGAGGGAGATTCGGCATCACGAGTGGGAGCCGCCGGGTGGAGAACAGCCAGAGCCATCTTCTCCCCGCTCGCCAGCCGAGCCGGAGACGGCGGGAGCTCACCTGGTCCTTGGTTTTGCCTTCCCGTTCCCTGATGTGGGTGGTAACGATCCTCTCCGTCTCCTCTCGTAACCTGGGGTAGGAACCAAGCTGAAAAGAAAAAGGGAGAAAGCCAGGGAAAAAAAAAAACAAAAAAACAAAAAAACAAAAACAACAACGGCTGCTGAGGGGCCCGTGGCA